TCAGTGGATGTGCACTGGTGGATTCAAGTTTCTACATCACACTGTACAAGTTGCAACACCTAAAAAACAGAACATGAAGTCCATTTCTCAATCAAAATACAACTACACTGTAGATTCCACTGTTAGAGCTCAAGGATACACCGTGTGTTTTGTGTGCGTCACACTGAATGTAAACAGAACTTTTGTTTGTTGACAAGTAAACTCCACAGGGCACCTTTAACTGCTGATGGACCTTTTAATTAAAGAGAGTACTACTACCCTGCCATGTATTCACCATCTAAAAGATGACACAGCACAAAGAAACCCATAACTGTGTTGTGAGCTACTGTGTTAATGGTATTTTTAAACCTCTTAAGAGCCGTTTTAATCTTTTTCCAGGCTCTGGGTCCCAGTAGTCGTAAGGCGGGGCCTGCTGTTTGTTCAGACCAACGCTTTCAAAGCTTCTTCCTGACCACCTGCTTTAAAATGGATGTGCTGCAAGCTCCCTGCACTCCCTCCCTCCACCGTCTCCGGTCTGCTTCACAGACGCCATCTGACACAAATCCTGGACACACACAGCTTCATTTTCTCCACTGTGTTTGTGTTTCTGTTGTAGTTTTGAACACTATTCATTAAAGGTATCCCAGCTTACTCAGATGTCCAACACCCTTGATATTTTTTTCTTTTGGGTGCCAGAATAAACTGAGGGCAGAGCCTTGAGGCAAGTGGAGTATGGAACTGATCGGGATGGATATTATGAGCAGCCTGTAGCCGTTGACATCCTCACAAACGTGGTGTGTATTTAACATACCAACACAGTTCCCCACCCAGGGACAGTGGTGGTCGAACTTGGCGATGCAGCGGTTGCACACGGCGCAGTGTTTGGACCTGATGGGCTTCCGTATCTGTCAGGAAAACAGTCACACAAGCAGTTAGAAGTTGTGTCATTATAGCCATCACTCTGTATTTATTTCCTGTAAGGGAGAAGTCCGATTTTACCAAGCAGGTGCTGCAGAATATGCTCAGATCCAGGCTGCCTGTCTCTGCCAGCTCCACAATTGTCTGAATGAAGAAAACAAGACACAAAAAGCAGAATAAAAAAAAAAGAAGGGGACATGGATGTACAACTGAGAAATTCATCTTGCCATGGCCTATTTGGCACGGCAACAGAAAAACCTAGTGACACTGTCCAAGCTGAGCGCTGGGATTTCCAGCTGAACGCTCAACTGAGTCACGGTGAACTGGGACAAAAAGCTACTGTGGGATTTACAGTGTAGTTCACACATTAGTCCTCTAGTTTTTAAGACAAAATACATTTCATACGGGAGTTTGTTTTTCATCTAATCTGAAACAATATTTTTCCACTCTCCTGTGTTAAAATCTGTTTGCTTTTACAGCTCATGTCTGTGCAAATAAACTAAACATGCAACAATCTACGAGCAGCTCGGAGTAAAACAAGAGGTGGAAGGGGATCCTCGGCAGGGAAAGGAAGGCTTTGAGGCTTTTGATCTGAGGTGGCTGACCAGCTCAAACAGTGGCGAGTCCTGTGCTAACAATGCAGGGTAAATTTAGCTCTTCATGAGTCACAGGACCCTGCTAAGAGGGAGAGCCTCTGTTGTCCTCCATTGGAGTGCGATAATGAGGGACAGAGAGGCTGAGAGGAGAGAGAGAGGGGACGGCGACTGCGGGCAGAAGGCCAGAGAATGAGCTACAGAGCAGCCGCGATACCTCCTGTCCACTGGACTTTTCACAGCTGATTTAACGTCACACATGATGTCCAGATACAATCCGGATCACTATGCATAACACTTATAGTTACATACGACAAAAATAAAACATCTAAGCACTCAAAAGATGAAAAAGGTGGTTGAAATACAAGAGAACATTATCACAAAGTAGGGATTTAAACATTTCTTCACATTCGCAGCGTGCTTCCTCTATTCTTTCGTTTACCTTTTTCTTCTGCTCCTCTGACGCTTTGATAATTCCTGGGTCAGACTTCCAGGATTTGCCAAAGTTGTAGAACAGAGCCAGGGTGTTTATCAGGAAGGGCACGTGGACAGTGGCAAAGGGGAGATGTGCAGCGAGGTTAAGGAAGATGGTGAACAGCCAGCAGCTTTCCCTGAATCATGTTTGTTTGTGATTTCAAAGACCGGTCCATCAACCTCTGGGTTGTAAAATCAAATCCTACTCACTGTAACTGCAATGCAACTGCCAGAAGACTGATAACATCAATGAGGAACCCTCGATTCATGACAGTATCAAAACACATCTTGCACAGCGTTTAAAACAGGTTGTTCCTTCCACGGTTCATTGCTCATATCTGCTTTTATTAAAGTTATTGAAAGTTTCTCCAAAAAAATCCATTAAAAAGGAGTAGTTTGATAGAGTTGATATTTTGGAAAATATTCACTTTTTTAACAAGAGTCACATCGTAATCGTAATGTAAATCAATATACGCTTTTAAAAAACGCAGAGAGCCAACAGCTAACTGACGCTCCATGGCAACATTATACTTCCTGTTCAAAGGAAAAGCAGACTCTGAAAACACTTCACAAAGAGTAAAGCACAGGGAGACAAAGCAGTTTCTCATTAAGAGGAGCAGGTAAATTGCTTTATTGAGAATTTTTAACTATAAATATTCAATTAATGACAACCAGAAATGACATAAGCAAGACAAACCACAATGGTGTCCACTTCAGCAGTGTCCAGAACAAACCCTTAACCACAATGTTCTAGAAACGTCTTTGATCAAATGTCAATAAAACCATTTCCTGTGTATTTGCTACAATGACGTCAATCTGAGTCAGAATTTCACTCCATAGTAAGTCCAGTAACGGCTGTCCCTTCAACTCACCCAGTCATTTCAGTCTGTCACAATAGCTCATCATGACTTCCTTCCATGAATACATACAACCCACATAGAGCTGTGGACTGGTTTCGTGGAGACTGTAACTGATTACTGGCAGAGTCAGTCATGCAGGTGTGCATGAGTCAGCTGAATCCCACAGGAAGCCAGCCAAGTGACACCGAGAGGCCCAGACAGCGAAAGGCTCAACACTGTGTTCTATTGTGTGACTGAAAGTATCTGGAGTAAAACAATGACACAACCATCATGGTGGATCAGAAACAACACAGAGGAAGAATATTCTGTTCGAGCTGAGGTGTTACATGTGAACACAAGTGAACACAAATGTGGCATCATGACACTTAGTAATGTAGCAAGGTCACAAGTGTCAGTGGGAGGCATTGCATGACTGTTGAACATACAACAGCACACAAAGTAGTCATTCCCAGCCCATGAAGTAGACATTATGTTACCTTGCCTTGTAGGAGGAACTCTGGGCTGGGCAACTGTAAAACATGGCGAACTCCGTGGAAGAGGACGCAGTCCCTCTGTAGATCAAATCAGCTCATTCTAAGTTGACTATACACTAATGAAAACATACCTATCAATATTATATTCCATTCATGCCAATAGTTCCAAATGTTAGCTGAATCTCAGTTTTTAAATGTCTGTACCAAATTTTAAGCTGATCCATCCATTGTTGACATTTCACCGCTGGCGTGGCAAAAGAAAAAACATGTTTTCTGGACATCTAAACCTAAATGACTGCTGCTTTCGTCCATCAAAAACTATTTATTTTATTATCACCGAACAAACCGGATGATCCTCTAAATCGTATGGTCGTGAATAGCTGCACAGATGAGCTTCTTTCTTCTATTGAAGGGTAGGGATTATCCGCAACAGGGCACGCCATTTCAGTTAATACTATACGCTTTCATTCAGACTGAACTCTGGTTTTTGTATTGTCAAAACACACTTGATGTGAAGACCAGCCATGAAAAACTTACACCAAATCCACTTTAACAGATGACACTAAAAACCCTTTGAATCATTAACTCTTGTTGATGCCCTGGAGGTCTGTCAGGAAAGTAGTTACAGCAGCTATGAGGGAAATAACTTGCCCCAACAGCAACTATGATCTGATTTGCTTTTGTGGTCATGCCTCCAGTTCAGTTATGACTTCACTGATAAGCACTTTGCTAGCACTGATAGAGTGAGAGAAGGCTCTACAAGCCCCTGTAGACCACATGAAGCCATTGATCTTCATAAGTATCTCCATAAAGACTTGGGCGTTGACATTATGCCCTACTGAAATGGCCTGATAATCAAAACACTCCCCAGAACGCCTCATTGGTCCACTAACACAGTGACCAGTGGAGGAATGGTGCCAGTGATCAATGCAACACGCTAAGACAAATGGGCTTCAATGCTTCCTCGGGGAGACATGGTCATCACCTCCCGTTCGCACCCATTTATCTTCTGAACGGTTAAGCAGTGAGGTGCGTTTGACAAGGTTTCCCTAACAGCTGACAGCAGATGCCGAGTGAAATGAATGCTACATCGGTACAGAACAAAACACCAAGATGAATTCGCGATGGCAATCCACGTTTTTGCTAGTCTATCTTTAAATTGGAAGGAGTTCTTCCAAAGCTTCAGGTTTTGTCCCCAACTCTTATTCCATTCCATCGTCATCATTCTCTTATTTTCAGACGTTCACCTGCTGGAAATCCATTCACATGCAAAGTCTATTGAGGAAAATATGATCTGGGTCTGGGAAGGACAAAAAAAAGTGCCTTCATGCAGCTCCACCCTTGTCATTTGATCTGATTTCAACCACAGGCCTGAGGAGGATAATAAGCTCACAATGGCAGAAAATGGGTCAGTCAGATAAAATAAAAGGTTCTGCGCTGCATAACTACACTGCCTAACAGGGAAGTGATTAGAAATGTGCACCATCAAAATCAACTTATTTCTCCCTCTACACTGCATTACCTTCTTGTAATTCAATGAAAAGGCCACCCAGAACAGTAAGAAGTGAAATGGAAATATCTCCTCTCACATTTGACCAGATAATCAGGCCAGGACACATTAAACCAGCTGCTGGAATCTTGCCACATGTGGGAGGTTTATATTTTCATCTTCAAATCAAAGTCCAATAAATCTTCACTGAAACTTGCTGAAACTCCAGCAACCCCATGTTGGGCCTCAGTCCGGTTTATGTAACCGGGCTCTGAAGGGTCCGAGAGAGTAAACTGATGCCTCCCCTGACACCACAGACTGAAGAACACAAAGGAGGACGTTAGAGGAGGTTAAATGCATCAGTATGCTTCAAACAAAGTTCTTGCTGAATGGTTGAACAGCTTTGGAAAGCTGCGAGCGGAGGGGCTTTCCGACATCAGAATTGGGAAGGCAGTGTTTAGCCATTTCTGTTACATCTATTCCATTACTGTTGTGCAAATATTAGGATTTTTTTGTTTAGGGTTTTATAGATACAGCAACTTTTCCACCTTAGCCAGGTGTAAAAACTTTTTGCAATATTCAACTTTCTTTTAAATATTCTCTATTTCCACACAGGATTTTAAAACCAAATTGAAAACGTGCATAAAAACCATGGATGGAACCACACTTACTCCTGCCCCCCTCACGCTGTGCGAAGGTGAATACGTAGGTAGGATTTTAACTTCTCTCTCAAGCTGTCTTTATTCGTTCCTAACACAACTACTATCTGTCACTTTTGCATGTATGTAAAAAATAGGTGCAATACTAGGAATGTCTCCCAGGAAATACGGTCCCAAGTGTTACATTATCCCCACATTGGAAGGATCACTGAGTCTCACCCTCTCTATATACCTGTTCAGACAACACGTTGTACAAACTCTTTCTAACATTGCCCAAACCTCACCTATGGTGGCCATGGGGCAATTTTGCTTGTGGGTAGCAGTGTGAACAGTCGCACTCATATGTTATCTTCACATTTATTATTAACTTCTAGTTCAAGAAGCACCACTTCATCCGGTCCCACAGTGCACCTGATTTGCAAATCACTTGATTTGCATAAATAAATGCGATTAGAAAACAGTAGTTATTTGTATGTAAGCAGGCAACTGAACAAAAGTCAAGTGTCCACCTGAGTAAGAGAGAGAGGGAGTTTACAACAGATGTCTACAACACTGCAGGAGAAAAGCTAAACTTGCTGTGCTGTTAGGAACATGACACAGCATGTCTTTCAACTAGAAAGGCAGGTGGAAGACAGCAATACTGGAAAGAGATTCATAGCGGATACAAAGGCTTAATGACAACCTTGATAGCTGGAGGGCAAAAGAGAAGCATGAAAGAAAAGAAAGATGCAAATGTCTTCACACAAGAAAGAACCTGCCTGGAGTCAAAGGGACAACTTTTGACCCATGTAAGAACAAGCATTTACCAGATAAACCCTGGCTTAGGGAGCAGGTACATATGTCATTGTATCAATTGTATGTTGCGTAGACGCACCACACATCCATGAAAGCCATGCTCCAAACACATCTCCAGCAGCATTTTTAAATAACTAAAAAGGCCTTGGAGCACAGTTTTCTTTTTCAATAAGCTCAGGCCAAAGACATCTTCCTCTTCCTTCCCATTAGTGGAGCAATGAGGCAGAAAATTAAATGCCTTCCACAAACAAGAACTCCCCTCTCACCTCCTGCAATTACCAGCTTCCAAACACAAAGGCAATTCTTCCATGAACAGAAAAAAACTAAATGTGAGAACAGCCACGCTAAGGCCAACAGAAACTCTTTGGAGTTGCTTCGTTGGGTTTCACCCAGCAGCTGCTGCACACTAAACTGCCTGTTCACAGCAACAGACCCTTAAAACTGAGCAGCATACTCATTCAGACATAGAACTTATTCTACATTTTGACTTACGTATCCATCATAGTGAGACCCTTGGTCTTGTGGCACTTCATGCCTGCATTTGATTAACATAATTTCCAACTCCTTCTGCTCTTTACATTAACCTCTCTCCTTTTCCACTTAAACTGGCCTGTAACTTTATCTCTAGCCTGCCAGCACAAGCACATTTCCTGGTAATCTTTTGTCTCTTTCAACCAAAATGCATTAAAGGCAGCAGAAAGCTGTAAAAATCGATTTTACAAGTCTATATTTTATTGAGATCCTGCCTTCTTGGAGCTCCTGTTTGCCAAATTTACAAAACAGCCTAACAGATTCATAAAAGCTTTTGGCTCATGTTGTATGACTTGTGCAATTGCTAAAAGCCAAACATAAATACCCCATTTCAAATTGCATGTGACACAACTGCAAGGCTTTGAATCGATGCCTTTTTCTTTCCAGTCTTGGAGCTTTTTGGATTGTGGATGAATAAGACTAAAACAGGTGGACAGGAGAGCCCATCTATCACTCTGAGTGGCTGGAAAGAGCTACAGAGAACCAAACTACATAACTTGACTCATGTTGCATTTAATGTAGGAGAACAGTCACTGTTCAGTGTAATCCTCAGCATTAATTAGGATTTAGAGAGCATTATTAAAATCTAAAAGGTTAGTGCTTGATCCCAGACACAGCTTAAGCGTTCTCAAACCTTAACTTCTCTCACGCTGCAAGTCCCTCTGGATAAGACTCCTCCAGAATCAGCTAAATGCCAAAACTGTAAATGATTTGTTTCAACATAATTCATCCATCACACAGACTGAGGTGTAGCATTTGTTAAAACGTTTTTAACTGATATCGTCTGACAAACATCTCACTGCTGTTTTTCTTCTTTTTTTTAAAGAGTTTTTTTTTTTAAAGGAATAGTTCAATATTTGGAAAATACACTCGTTTGGTCAGGGGCATTGACTTCCTGGAGTGCCTGCTGGTTGCCGGGCAACTGCATGAAATAAGCCGACACATACCTCGAGTAAAAACACAACTTGACGTTTTTACACTTTGGCTTTTGTACAGATTTTACAAACAGGATATTGTTATATTTGGACTGAGCCAAAGAGCTGAGCTGTCCCCCTTTCCCGTTTTCAGTCTTCATGCTAAGCTAAGCTAATTGGCTGCTGAATGTAGCTTTCCTCGTACATCAAACTGTTCCTTTAAGAAAACAAAGTCAAGGGGCCTTTGCTGTCTGTCATCCCCTATCTTTCTCCACCTTTCCCGTCTATCTTAGGCTGTAACTATCCATTAAATAGAAATAAAATAAGAAAAAAAAGAAAGAACAAACTAATGTAGTTTAAGACAGAAAAGGATATCGTTCCAGAACCAGTAGAACCAGGTGGCGTACATCCAGAACTTGGTGGCCAGGTAGATTCCCAGAGGGAGAGCGCTGTGCATGGAGTGGTCGAAGAAAGCCCTGAGAGAAGAGAGGAGAGGAGGAGGAGGGTCGGAGTTATCGGCAGGGTTTCTTCAAACAGTCATCTGTCAACTTCTGTGTTAGTCAATAGCATGCACAGTACTACGACATCAGCTTCACACTGACCGTCACACCTGACACAGCATGGCAATAACACTTTAACTCGACAATTCCAGGTTATTACTACTTGTATATTTTTGGTCAAATTCTAAAAAGGATTTTTTTTAGCAGGTATCATTCCCACTACTTTACTGCTCAGCTCATAACTCATGTGTTCAATACATCAAGGCATTCTTCCTGCTGATGTGAAACCTGCACATATGGACAAATGCAAACCCGAGTCTTTGATCTGAACCCTGCAGTCAGACGGGGCAGCAAAAATAAACCGAGCCGTAACCTGATGACACGTTGCAGTTGGACTCACCAGCACTCATATTCACAATTGTTTTTTCACCAAGTAAGTATTCCAAGTATGTCAGTAAATATAAAGCTAACACACTGGGTGATGTATGTTATTGTAGTCACAGAGCTAACACTACTGAGGGGACACAACAAACTATACCAGTAGGACCAGATGGCAGTGGTAATGTGGTTTAAGCAGGGGGTGCAATGTGTGTGCGTGTGTGTGTGTTTATGGGAGTATTTGTCACTGCATGGTGTGGAATGTTGGAAATGATATGTGTGTGTGTTTGCACGCAAGAATATCTGCATGTACAGTTTATGTGTTGGTGCCACAGAGACTGTGTGTAAATAAGTAATACAGATTTGATTATGAAACTATCATTTAATGCCGACTGTACTGAAAACATGTCATAGCTGATAGATTGTAACTGTAACTCAAGGCAATAAAAACTTAAATCTTGTAAATCTGACCAAACCAGGCTGTAACTTAATTAACATAATTAAGGGATGCCACCAATACAAATGCCATATTGGCTGACACCAATCATTCTTTTCTTGTTTTGTTGTAGCAGCTGGTACAGCAGTATATTAAAATGGGACAGTGGTCTAGAAAGCATTAATCCTGATATCCTATCACGTAATTTTGAGGAATATCACCCAATAATGTCAGTGTCATTGATCAGTGCCCGATGGTTCTGTCCATCTCTATAATTACCTTCATTATTTAGATCATAAACGGCAGGGAAAATACTGCTAGCCAATCTGAGTATGGAACACATGGTGCACATAGCATACAAGGTGTATATGCCAGTGTGTGTGTGTGTGTGTGTGTGCCCGCCCTATCTGTGTTTAGACGTACTTGGAGAGGAACTGCACGGCAACCCATACACCGGCGTAAATGAGGCCCTTAATAAGCCAGGAGTCAATGTCCAGGTCAGCAATGAAACCAACTAGCCAGATGACCAGGAAGGGTGTCCCCAGCATCACTTTCTGCCTGAACTCCTGCAGCAGGGAGGAGGAGAGGAAGGACACAGATGGCATATCAAGGTAGGTAAGGAAAAAAACAGAGAGGTAGGGCACATAGGAGGAGAGAGAAGACATGTAATAGAAGTGGTGAAAAAGGAGGAGATTGGTGGGAAAATGTTGAGCAAGAGGACAAAGTATTGGGGGGACAGATGAAAATGAAATGTGAACATGAGATAAATGTAGAGAAAGAACACGAAATTCTATTTTTAATTCATACAAATCAAGCATTCAGTCTTTTATAGCTATTTGTAGTTTTACACATTTGTCTCTTTAAGCTGTGGAGACATAAAACAGCAATGAAAGCAAGTCCAATGAATTCCACAGATCTACCAATGGCCTGTGCCAAGCTCTACTCACTACAGCACTGGGCCTGACACTAGGGATCTGGACTAAAGTTGTGACAAACCTCAGACCTTAATGTGAAGGAAACAACAGTCTAAGATCTATTTGTGTAAACACAGTGACACATAATCTCTATGGTGAATCGGAATTAATTTTAGTAGTCTTATCTGTAAGCAAACTCACTGTTATTATACAAAATTACCTTCATTAACTAATAATAGCCCAGCAGACACATGGAAAAACAACAACACATTTAAGCAGAGTTAAAAACAGAGTTTTAAGTAGCAACAACAACAAAAAAGATTCATTTTAAAAAACAAAAATCAACAAATGCGTCTTGTATCAGGGTGGGAAATGACCGACCACAGATGTTTTCTGTCTGTTTTTGGTGTGGCTGATGTTACTATTTATTATCAGTATACATTTGAATTACCACCCACCGTGGTCAAACTGGACAGTATAAAAGTGTAGTATAAGTATAAAAGTTCCTGCATTTCCTGGTAGCTGTAAAGTTAAACATAACCCATCACTTAAGAGCCGTCTCCTTCCTGTCAAGTTGTCTGATTGGACACTTGAAAAGTAGTAAACAGCTGACAAACTGACAGCTTTAAAAGGTAATCACAACTCCAGACACGCTGCGATACTGCAGCAGTGCAAAGGTTCAGCCTGGACGGGGCTGGTCTGAGCATGCTTGTTTGAACTGAGACAAAAGCGTGCGAAGTGTGCGTGTGTGTCTTTAGATCAAAGATTAGATGGTAACATGTGAACCTACTTAAAGGATTCAAACTGAACTGTTTCTGTCTAATGTTTAAGCAGCAGAACATTATTCACATTGTTTAAAAGGATTTTCTACGACTGCCTGCCCTTCCCTTTTTGTTTATAATGTAATCTATTGGTGTGTGTGTGTGTGGTTGTTGTGTGTGTGGTGTGTGTGTGTGTGTGTACCTTGTCCATCTTCAGTCTCTTCAGGTAGGACGGGCTGTCGTAGCCTTTGGCCTGCCGTGCTTCCTGTAAGTGATTGATCATCCAAACGTTCTTCCTTTGCTTGGCAAGATCTAGCGGTGTCTCGCCCTTAAAAACAACAGAAGACCCGTCTGTACACATCTATCGCCACTCCGAAAGCTACATTTTCACCAGTCTCATATGTTTATATGAATTTGACTGTTATCAGACAAATAAAACAGCAATGCAGGTACATGAAGTCGGCGGATGAAGCCACGGGGAGAGCGTTACCTTGATGTTCTGTGCATCGACGTTAGCGTTGGCGTCCAGCAGCAGGCTGATGACAGTGGTGTTGCCGGCCAGCACGGCCCAGTGCAGCGCTGTGTTCTTGTGATATTTGTCGCCCAGGTTGACAGACACGTTGAAGGTCAGTAACAGCCGGGTGGGGTCCACACTGTCAACACAGAGGGAAAAAAAACAATCAAGTCAAGCTGAGGCAAATCTGACAAACAGGCCTGTCACAATAAGAGCAGCAACTAACAATGATTTTCATTATCAATCAATCTGTCTAGCAGTTCATTGATTAATCAATTAGTTGTTTGGTCCACAAAATGTCAGAAAATGGTAAAAAAAAAAAAAAGGTTGATCACCATTTTGAAAAGCCCAAGTGACATCCTGAAATGTGTTGTTTTGTCGACAAAATAAATATTCACTGATCACATTAGCTTAGAGAGGACTAAAGAAACCAGAATACATTCTCATTTGAGAGGCTGAAATCAGAGAATTTAGAAATCAAAAAAATGTATGGGAGCAATTAACTAATTATCAAAATAATTGGTGATTCTATTAATCGACTAATCATAACTGCTCTCGTCAGGAGGAAGGCGGACGAAGGAGGTGATTAACAGAAACAGGACAGCTGGGCAAGTTAAGGGTTTGAATCTGGTTCATATTAATAAAAAACACCAAACAACATTGGTTGAAACTACTCATGCTGTGACACACCAGATATTTTTGGCATTCTTACTTGAAACAGCAATATCTGATTTAATTTTCTACTTCTTCTTATTCATTACCCAATTCTTCATCACGCTACGCCTCTATATTGTGGCTGCTAATGATGTAATTCCCCCTCATGGACAAATAAGTTAAATTACTACATTATAATTAGAAACGATCCCTCCCAAAAAATTGCTTACGAAGGAATATTCCGATGTAGCTGAGCAGCAACACTGGGACTTGTTTCCCTGTGTTAGCAGTCTATCTGATGAATGGCCACTCATGTATACGTGAGGAAGGTGCGTGTGTGGCTGCAGTCAGCAGAAACATGCTCTAGCTTGTACATGTATCCATTCCATGCATCAGTTTCTTGATTTAGTTCAACCGCGTCATTAAGGAACAGCAACTCATCAAAAAGCTGTAGCAGCATTAGCATATTGTGTACACTCACACACATTTTAAACATACACACCTGTGTGTCCTGTAAGCCGCCCACATCAGAGGAGTCATGCCGTTCTGATCCATCATGTCCACATCCTGATGTAGAGGAAAGACACAACAGACAAAGTGAAGGAGAGAGGTGAAGAAGAGAGGCAATAGGGCTCCCCCTGATGGAGGGCACTCAAACTAACTGCTTTCAAAACAAAGATTTGTCCCCAAGTGGCTTACAAAACCCAAATAACACAGAAAGGAATGGAAAAAAAGACATGGTAAAGAGGTGGGTTAGTGCCTACTTTAGCAATTATTTTAAAAATAGCCCAGTGACGCATAATCAAACTAAGTACTACTCTGTGCTAAGGACTGTTTTATGTATTTTGAGATTGTGTTCTCTCCCTGACAAATACATTGCAGCGTTGGTGTTTTCCTACCTGTCCTTTGGCGATAAGGTAGGCCACGATGGAGGTGTGGCCGAACTGGGCGGCCAGATGAACGCAGCTGCAGCCCTCACCATCGATCAAAGATGGGTCCGCACCATATTTCATGAGCTGCACCACCATGGATAGATGGCCTTGTCTGGGAGGAGATAAACACAAAACAAAAAATTTTATCAAAGAGATGCGGACAGATTTCCTGTCTTATTCCTCACTACTAAGCCTCAAAGACTGAACAATATCCTCCCGAATGAACAGTAATATGCTCAGTTTCTTTTCAACTTTACTGAACCGGTTTTATGGTTTTATGTTGCAGAGAGGAACAAGTAACTCCAGTCTTTTAGAGGTTTGGGGTGAAGAGGGTCAAAGCCACTCTCACTTGATCACCTACATAGATGCTGAGTGGGTGACCAAGCTAAAGTCAACAGTCCAAAGATCAGGGGTCAGGATCTACTCCCACTGCTACTGGACTCCTACAATACATGTTTCATATGCTGTTGCGATATTGAGAGACTGACTCCCAGCTTGCTCTTATCATTTGATGTTTGTTTCTGTGCTGTAGAAGGTGATTTGTTACCTGCTTTTATTGCATGCAGTATATTGAGTTTTTAAAATGTATTTTATTACTAACCCTGTCTGCAATGTAAACTTCCCCTCAAAGGACAATAAAGATGTGAAAGAAGCTGATAAAGATGACATAAATTCTTTGTTTTAGTATTATTTTATTGCCTTAGTGAGAACTGTGTAATATCACTTTATGTGCACAGAAATGTGGGTTTTTTGGTCATACAGACAGAGGAGACTGGGGGCTTTTAAAGGTCACTGGCCAGTGGAGGTGGGCGGAGGTGGAGGGTGACACGGGACTCCCCAGTGTCTGTGTACCAGTGATGGTGCGGATGCTTGTTGTCAAAGCTATCAATAATTCAGGACCAGAACACTTCATGCCCCCCTCTGTGCCTTGGAGAGGGGTGGGAGGTTCTCATGTGACCTGTCCCTGCTCACCAGTTACAGCACGGCTGACTGATCATTACAATGAGGAAGAAGGAAATAGAAAACCTTCAAACAATCAAGTTGAGATGGAAGACATAGTTGTAAAGCAACAGTAAACAGCAATAAAGGGGAAGACCAGCCTAGGACTCAGTTCATAAAAGTGTGTTTGTTGGAGTGATTTAGAACGAGACACTGAGGAAGCTGGCCTGATCTCCTCAGGTATGATGGCCCTGGATTTTGGCACAACTAACCGTGACATGTTTGATAACCTCATGTCTGAAGAGAACAGTAAAATAATCTTTTAGCCTATGGTAGTAGATTCAGGCTTCCCCAGAACAGGCTGAACCATTACAAACATGCATTCCTGCCTATGTTCATCTCAAACAGGTAGTGTAGGATGTTGGCCATGAGGGTTGAGCAATATGCCACCATTGTCAGAAGGTGTGTATATGTGTATGTGCAAACTGTAACTGGGAAGCTGTGTGTTCTGAGAGTTCTGAGATACTGATGTTTGTTTTGTTTTTTGTTTTTATTTATTATTATGCAGTATGTGTGGGGGTTTTTTTTTTAATCTTCTGTGGAACTGCAGTCCAAATATTTTTGCCCTACGGGGACATTAAAGTAGCTTAGATTCAGTTGCTTTCTGTTATAACAGGCGTGGATCATATTCACAATAAAAGTCAATAAAGGCTTTATGAATTAAATATGCACACTTAATGGCAGATATGTTATCTGTGGAGAGTGTGTGTTACCTTGTGGCCCAGTGCAGAGGTGTGGAGTTGAGGTCTCCTCCCAGCTGGTCCACTATGGCTCCCTTTGATATGTAGTACCTGCATGCACAAACACAATAATCAGGTGAAACTTTATACAGCAGCTATGAATGAATCTGACCGCTTTCTGTTAACCTCATCTAGTTGTAGGCTGTGGAACCGGTATGAACGACAAAAGACAATTTTCACTTTGATGAATAAAATAACAAAGACTCGATGAACCTCAGTTGTCCTCACTTGAATATATGAGCTTAATATAGAGCAGTATTCCCGACTGATGACTTGAGTTAAATAATGGACTTTCAGGACGCAGCCCTAATAATCACACCACCAGGGAGGAAGTGGCCAACCCTCTGTGTCTCTCCAAGGCCCATCTTATCTGTAACACCCAACCCGATAAAACATGCCAAGTGTGAAGTGCTGCGAGACCTCCCAGGTCAACAATATCACCAAAGCATAAATCAGACATTCCTTTATGTCCATACATTTCTACCACAGTTGTTCTTTTGATAAGAAAAGGAAGCAGTTGAAGGATATGACACATTGCGCCCATACGAACTGCACACAGTATGCAACACCAAGACTGAAACTGTTTCCACAAATTTTCAGTCAAGTTTGAGTGAAGAAAGTGTGCGTTTTTGTACTATTTTGAACATTTTGCAAACTAAACAATTGATAGACTATTTGAGGAAATAAACTGGCAATTAACGGGTAAGGCTATGCAGTGTGATAGGCTCCTCACCTGGCACCCCGAAATGGCAGTCTGTCTCGCCCCATCCCAAAGTTCATTGATAATTCTGTACTTGAAATTGGACGAGCAATAATGATGAATAGTCCGAGGAGTCCGTGTACTAGCCTTGCAGATCACACTGTGCTGAAGGGAAAGATAACAAAATAAAATATGGGTGACCATATTAAAGTCTAAACTAATAATAATAATAATATACAATAAATATAATAATAATAATAACAATAATAATAAAGGAATGCAGAAACATAAATGGTTCCATATCCCATCTGTATCTGTAAGTTCAACACTATGTTTCTGTGTTGTTATAAAAGGCAGGACTGTGTTAGGCTGAAGAGCTAAACGCAGGCGACTGACTCCTGCCACTTCACCAACTTAGTAATAGAGATAGAGAGTAATGAGACAAAAAGTACAAGAGGTGCTAGAGAGGTTCAGACACTGCCAGCAGTATTTACCGAGGAGGAGCTCATTAAGGTAGTCTTCCACACCTTAATATAACTGCAACATCAGTCAGTTCATTGCTAAATTTTTTCCTGAGTGATCTGAATCAAGGTAGATTATCCAAGTGTGAGGCTAGAAAGAGGGCAACTCTTTTCCTCTGATGGAGGTAGAGAGCTCAGTGGGAAAGGGTTATTAGACAGCAACAAGGTACAGCAGAAAAGCTGTGCAAGCAAAGAAAATAGTGGCAAAAGAAATGCAGAAAAGCAGCAGCCATATTTATTTTTGTATAAGTATTATTTATTTAACCTTTATTCATGGTAAACTGGCCGAACACACTGCTTTCTCCAGTGATTGATATTCAGCTTCATATTTAAAACTCGAATTCAGACTCGCAACCACCTGATCGCGTTGCTACTTCCACCACCAACTTCGTACAAAACATGACTGGACTCACTTGACCAAGTCTATCCTGTTGTTGATGGCGGCCCAGTGGAGGAGCGTTACGTTTTCTTTGTCTGGCTGCCGAACGTCGAAGCCCGCCTCCACCAACTCCCTGCAGCGCTCGAAGATGCCGTACCTGAGAAAGACAGAAGGGGCGGAGAGGGATTAGAGTCTACTCACGCGCGCATACTCAGGGTTAAATACATAAAACCTAGACACACTGACAGAATGCACACACATGTAAAAACACACACACAAACCAAAACTGACAACTTCAAAAACAGATACTCGGATCCAAACAAGACACCCACGCTGTGCTATAACTTGGCACTGGCTGTCTCTAAGCGGATATTCCTAACCTCAAATCAAAACAACATAAATCTGTTGCTGTCAAATGTAAAAGCGTCCCAGACAAAGCTTCCGTTGTCTCATCAGAAAGACATTTCTTCTCTTCCCCCCTACATTTTCTCATCCTTTTCTGAGCTTGTGAATGACTTCTTTGGCATGTGCTGAACCAGAAAACCACAGTTGAAAATATGATGCTGTTAGTTCTGGATTTAAAATGTATTGTATCTTGATAACAAATAAAGTAAACATGTTGCCCTCCAGAGTTGACGAAGGCACCCGTCAGTAAGTGGTAAACAATCTCAGCTCGGGCTGTCACTTTCGCTTGCTGTCACACAAATTAAGACGCATCTCCGGAGTTCCATTATGTATTTCTTTCCCACGTCACAACAAAAGTTATAATTCCAAATAAACAGTCAACCTTCCTGAGACATGCATGCGTTATGACACTAACAAAATAAATTCATGCATCATTTCTTGAGGTTGCATCAATCTCTGACCCTGAGACAACACACAGACTATCCACTCACTGTGTGGCTTTGACAATGTCCCAGGTGCTGTAGTCATCCACATGGTTCTTACGGCTAACATTCTCGCTGTAGCCGTGGTTGTAATGACTCTGGGGTTTGATTTCCTGAAAAGGAAGAGGGAGGGCAAGAGAAAGAAACACAGAGATGAAGATAAGTTAGTAAGGATAGGCTGCTGTATTAGATCATCAGCATTATGTTGGAACATACCAAAATGCTTAATAAGATGGAGAAAATATACTGCGGTATATGAAATTTCTTCACAATACCGGAAATTCATTTGCAAAATTGTCTTTATACATAAAAGCCAGTACTGCAAGTCCAGTAATGATAGATATGCAACATTTCCCACATTGGTTTAATACACCTACAGCTGCAAAGATTAATCAATTAAGTCAATTGTAATTTTTTAAGAAAAATCCTCTGGTTCCAGCTGCCAATAGATCCTCCTAAACGTTACACACTGGACCTTTGAGGAGAAGATGAAATATTTTTAGAACTGAAGTGTGACATGGGTATGATAGGAAATTAAATTCAATGCAATCCCTGCAACCTTAAAAATATTCAATATTAAAAATGTCAGCCATGGCTTGGCAAACTTGGAAAACCTCTTAATTTATATCTTCAAGACACTGCAACAATAACCGCTCCCATGAAGGTGTTCTCAATAAATCTGGCCGACTGGACTTCTAGTCAGGTTGAACTACGGTGTGAAGTACATGATATCACCAAAGAGTAAGAACTAATAACAGTGATAATGGTGTGATCTAATCCCACTGACTGAATAATGTTCATGAATCAGATTCATCTGGGAACAATAAAGAAACGAGGGTGCTTACGAGGCTATAAAGATTTTGACTGGCAAGATTTATTCACAGAGCAAAAATAACATGTGTAGTGCAAGATGGACGAGCTTCCAAAGGGCAGCATGACTGAACAACAGCATAAAAGCCCCACGGAGATGACAGATTCACAGTGCCTTGCTCAAGGACACTCCACATTCATTTCAGTAACTGATCACAGCATTAAAAAGAGGAAAATAACGGCCGCAGGACAAAGACGGGCTTGTCGAGCCCAGTTGCTGCTGAAGATCTAATCCGTCACACAGATGTGGCCACTGTGCTACTCACATTCAATTAGCCTCCATAGTAACGCACAGGAAACCACAATTAGCCTCCATCATCCAGAAACAAGGGCTGCATCTGGTGAACACACAACACCCACACTGCCTTTTGCCATTCTGACTCTTGACTTTGTGAATAAGAGCTGAAGCTAATGTTAGACCGGGTTAAGCCACTTCCAATGTACTGCCAGAGAGAAACACAAGGAACTGAATTTAGTTATATTTACTGAGAGGCAGACACAGAAATAACGATTATGAAATGGAATTTACAGTCAAAACTGTGATGCCTGCACTGATGTTACCCATCATAACCCACCTTACGCAGCTCCAGATTTAGTTCCAACTATCAAGCAGGCATTGAGACTGTGTTGGCTGTGCTGCTGCTTTTGTGGACGCATACAACCATGAGGGGTAATGAGGCAGCATCTGGGGGG